CCCGCGGGTCGCCCCCCAGCCCCGCAGCGGGGATCCCCCCGGCCCTGCCGCCCGCGCAGGGGAGCACCCACCTGGCGAAGGCGCGGCGGGCCGGCGGGGGGCGAGGGGCCGCCTCCCGGCGCGGGGGGCGCGGGCGAAGCCATCTTCGGCTCCTTCCCGCCGCCGCCCGCCTCCTCTCAGCCCCCCGCGGCCGCCACCATGCCGGGGACCCGCGGGTGACCTTCCCGGGGGCGGCCGCTGCTGCTGCGGCGCGGGTGGGTGGGTGGGTGTTGCGGGTGGGTGCGGGAGGCAGCGGCCGCGCTGCCGATGAGCTCACACGGACAGATCCGCGGCTGCCGGCGGGCGGCGCGGGCGGAGGACCCGCCTCGTCCTCCCCCGCACACGCACACACACCCACGGTACATCCCACCCGCGCTCGCACATCCCCCCCCCCCCCCCCTCCTTCCTTCGCTTCTGGCCGCGACCCCTCCACGCACACCCCACGCGTGTCCCCAGCCGGAGCATCCCCTGCCGCTGCTGAACCCGCTGGGGAATTTTTGTTTTCACACCTCCCCCCGCGGCCCCAAGTGTCAAAACACAGGGGTAAACTCGCGGCTTAGGGACGCAGAGAAACAAGGGATATTTTCAGGTGCGATTATCCTCATGTCCCACCCTGTGCTCACACCCACACGCAGGGCTTTCAATCCCTGAGAGCACCTTCTGGCCACTACCTGAGTGGAACACGGTTCTTCCCTGCTGCCTACACTCATATATTTTAAGGCCACGAGGGACCTTGTAATCAGAGAGCCCGATCTCCCACATAAGACAGGAATTTCTGGGAATACAGTTTCCCTCGGAAACAAAGCCCCGACAGCTGGTGGAGCTACAATAAACACGTCAGAAAGGTGATTTGAAAGCGCTGAGTTAAAATGAATGCATTTTATTCCCAGGCGAGGGGTTCCCGTGGTGAATTACACTAATTTAGCTCCAGATTTTAGCCACAGGAGCTCACCACACCACTCCCTGCCTTCCTACCCAAGGAAACCTTCACTCACTCCTGTTTAAGAGTGGCACCATCTCCAAATCCTCACCAAAAACCCCTGTCTCCTTACACAGCAATCTGCTATTAAAACAAATGACCCCCTTATTCAGCAGAGAATGAATTTGCTGCTTCACTCGAGTTCCCTTCCAAAAATAGTTCTGTTCTTTAACACGAGGTGTAACAAAGCTGTTAATCAACATTATTCCTCTGCAAAGTTCTGACTGATGCCCTGTCCCAGTCCGTGTCATCCCATCAGCCCTCCCGCACGCAAGTGCCATGAGCTAAAAGCAGCCTCGGGAAGCACACACTGCAAAGTCACCACGATTCCTAGTGCATTAGGGAGATGCTAAATTTAGCCCTACCTGCTAATTAATTTAGAAACTACTTAGTTGCGTTTGCGCCGGGATTTAGCCAATGCCTTTAGCCCCACCTCCAGCTCTGTATCCCTGCATCCCTCCCCTGCTGACGCTTCTGGCAGCATTTTGGAACACCTGGCATGTCTTTTGCTGAACAAGAGCCACCGGCTGTTTGATGGGAAGGCACCGTTATTCCTCACTTGTGGAATGCTGCAGGTGCAGAGGATGTTTTTCCAAACCCGTACAACAGCGAGCTTTCATCCCACTCACCTGTATGTTCCGTTGCCACTCTCCATCTCCTGATACTTCCAGAAGGAACATCTGTCCAGGTCACCTCTGTCACACAAGGTCATCTCCCTTCCTTGGATCCCACCACCGTGCCTTGTGCACAACCAACAGGTTTATTCCTGGGAAGTACCAGCACAATTCCAACACAGCTCAGGAACTCCAGGGCCACGTATAGACTGGATGGATCTGGATGACAAGGAGGGCTGAGAAGGAATAACAACTGATAGCAGGTTGTGGGAAAGGGAGATTTAGTCATTGAGAAGGGTGGGTCAGAGGGAATCAGTGGAAAACTAAGACCCAGATGAGAGGGAAGCAGTGCTCTGGCCATGAGCAAGTCTTCCATATTTAAAGGTGGCATTGGAGGGTGGCTCCCAGGAAAGCTTGGGATGCTGTTCCTGCTCATGCTCAGAACCAGGTTTCCCTCCTGTTTTCTTGCAAACCTATTTCACCACTTACCTCCAAAATAATGAGGCTTTTTCACTCCTTTCTCACCTCCCAAGCCTTTGCCAGGTGAAGGGCTTCCCTCACCTCTGTGCCCAGGCACAGCCCATTCCCAGAGTGGAGCTGCTGAAAGAAATCAAGGACACGGTAAAACTCCCAGGAGTTTCTAAGAAGTTAAGCTAGTAGGGAGAAGCTCCAGCTCTGAATGGCCTCAGCAGGGGCAGATTATCCCCTCTCCTGTCCCCACTGAGGCTGCAGGAATGCCATCTTTCCAAGCCCTGCTCCTTGGCTTCAGCTGGAGCTCTGTGCCAGCAGGATGGTGCTGGAAGAGGAGTGCAAAGAGAAGCAGAAGGGGAAAATCTGACTGAAAATCAGATGCAGTGCAGAGTGGTTGCAATTTTCAGGACCGCCTAAGGGACTTGGATGACCAGTTCCTACTTAATTGGGCATTATAATTTTCTAGGCATCCTTGAAAACCTCTGCCAAGGCTTACCAAACGTTCATTTCCATGGCCAGCTTTGGGGAGGAGCCTGTTCTCTCCCAGCACACAGTACAAGCTTCTCCTTAGTGAATAAAAGTAATACTCTAAGTATTAAGTTTTTTGTGATGAGGACAAGTCTTTCTAAGCCAGCCTTGTATCCCCAGTGATACTCTACGTTTTGATATTAATGTTGTTCTCACTGATATCTGCAGGTCCTGGATTAAACTGCATTCCTGCTAACAGACCTCCAGCCTTATTCCCACCGCTTAATGTACTCTCTGCTGTGCCTGGGAGTTACAATCCCCCCTTGGCACAGCTTTGCCCTTTCGCCTGCTTTTTCACTTGGGCAGTGATTTTACACTCCAGTTCCTTTTGGATGAACAGCCTGTAAGAGGCACAGAACCGGTTTTCCCGATGAAATATTTCTAGTCTCGGGCTCTAAGTGCTCTGCTGTGATACTCTGAGCAGGCTCAAGGCTCGGGGTTTCTTCAGGGATATTATTCCTGGGCATAAATACCCAGAGGACAGGTTATTCTGACTTTGTGCCTGACGTGAGGACCACGAGTTCCTCCCTGCTGATGCCATTCAGGAGGTCAGCGCTCCTTTACCAGAACGATCAGCAGAGAATTAACAGCTGGATAATGGATAAGTGAGCCCGACCTCATCCTTTTGCCGGTGCCCGCGTGAGGGGAATGATGCTTTGTTCCATCTACATACAGATCATCCGCAGATCGAATTTGCGGAGCGCTGCAGCAAACACAGCAGCATGGCTGCTGCTTCTTCTCATGCCTTTTCATTTCACAGCACCAATCCCCTCGGATCGGAACCCTCCTCTTCCGACCTCGGCGAAAGGCTGAGCCGAGTCAATGCCTATTGCTCCGTTCCTTTCAACCCCACGAATGCCCGGTTTCCCAAGGTTCCCGAGCTCCCAGGCTGCAGGATGCCGGCGGTGGCCGATGCCTGGCAGCTCTGCAGCGCGGGCACGCAATGCGATGCGATGCGATGCGATGCGCCGCCTCGGGGAAATCAGCCGGTGCGGCGCGTCGGGGAAGAAGCGCTGCCTCGCAGACAGGTCCGCACGCAAAAGCGGGAGCGCCGTGGAAACTGCCGGAGAACAAAGGCGACGCACAGAGCTGCGCCGGGACCTGTGAGGAATGTCCGAAATTACTTCTCCTGTGCCTCCCGGAGGCGCACGGCCCCCGCCGCGCCGAACTCCGCTCCGGGGGATTGACCGCCCAGGGATTTCGGAGGGGGTCAGGGGTTCGCTGCCTCACCTCTGGTACAGAAAATTGGGAATCGTGACGAACAGATTTTGCAGAGAAACGTGTTTTCCATCTCCAAGGTGATGGAGTAAAGTAGGGCAGCCTGCGGGGAATACACAGAAAAAGCATTTACTCTTCAGCAAGGACTGGAAAAGAGCCTACTAGAAGGGATAATAAGTAGGAGTTAAAAGACGTACTTGGCACTCCAGAGGCTCAGGAGCTGTTTCAGGGAACTTTCAGTGTCTATTTATCTTTTTTTTTTTTTTTTCTCTTCCCTGGGTGCCAACTGCTGCTGCTGCTGGAGATGAGTGCCGAGCTCAAGGAAACCTCAGTCCCACGGGGTACATGGCTGCTTTGATTTGTTCTTCCTTTTAACATCTGCTGTTAAAGCAAATTAGAAGAAGACTTGGCTGAGACAACTGCACGGAGTGTTAGCAGCACATTCCAGCTCAGAGAGCCCATACTGTACCATTTTCCTTAGTGGCTGTAGTGGAGCCTCCAGCAGGAATTGGGACTGTACCGGTGGGAAGCTGACACCCCGTGCCCAACACATCTCCTTTTGTTCAGGAACAGCTGAAACACGCTGTAACAGCAGTTTCTGCTCTGGAAATTCTGATGGATAACAGCAGTATTTACTCCTAAGTGGTATTTAGTTACATTTTGATGTCCCTGATAAGCACAGGGAAACATCCTCTAGCAATTCCCACACTGCTTGTAAGGATGTCAGAAAGCCACGGCATGACATTGCCAGTTCTTTTCCCTCCCCAGTGGCTCCGAGTCTCGGTGACAGATGAATATAAAACAGATGGGATGGTGGCAGAACCTCATCAGATGGACCTGATGGGCCTCGAGCTGCCCGTGCTATCGCATAGATTAGTGTCATGTAATGCTGGGCTCTGTATTTTGGTAGTGAAAGCCACGCAGCAGCTTTAATCTGGGATCTTGTCCTGTCCTAATGTCAGGATCTTCATTTTGATTGTATGTAAAAGATATATTTGGGAAGCTGTATCTTCCTTTCTATTTATCAGCTTTCTGTGCTAAGCTTTGAAACAGCACAAGAAGCTTTTCTACTGTGTGAAAAAGCCTTTTGGAGTTGCTGCATTTAAAAATCAGACCATAAAACTCTAATTCTGTCCAAACCAAGTATTTGGTCGCACCAGATTTCTATCACGTGTGTTTCTCAGATTGCTATTATCTCACATATATTTAATAGCCATACCAATTTGGAAATACCTGTATTTGGCCATAGCATCACATCTGACACGTCTGTTTAGTCTGAGATCCCTGCGAGCTCTTCTCTGAGCATCCACAGCAGAGCCATGGCACTGAAAAATAACATCTCCTCCTCCTGACATAATTGCTCCTTGCCTTTTCCACAGCTGACATGGGATGTTCCCAAGGGACACTGCAGTCACACTACCCAGTCAGCTTGCTGAGTTCAAGAATATGAGTCATATTCTCCATGACCCACAGCTACACGTGCAGCCCCCTCAAAAGGGTCTGGCCTGGCTCTGCACAGAGCCACCAGCTTACCCTTCTCCATCTCACCTGGATCAGGAAGCATCCTGGTGTGCTCCCAGAGGTGAATGCCAAAAAACTGGGAAGCTCCTTTCACTGGGAAGCCGAGCTGCTTGGTCAAAGTGGTGTTGTCTGGCAGATCAGTCCCTCTCAGGCCGTTCCTGCTCTGGCTTCAGGCGTGATGCAAACCCCAGGAGAGCAGCTCCCCTGCAGTACCTTGTCACTTTGAATCCCCATCACAGCTAAAACCAGACAGTGCTGAGACATGAGGAAAGACATTGTTTTCAAAATTAACCCCTCGAACCTGGGTCAGGACCTCTCTGGGTAAGGCAGCCATGGAGATTTGGAAAGCGGGCGATGGTTGATATTGGAGCCACCGCGGTGAGACAGGTTGATTAACATCTGCCCACGCAGCAGGACACACTGTCTGCCATCCAGCAGCCTTCACTCTGACATAGTGGAGAGAACACATTTTCTGGGCAAGCAAGCTGTCTTTCCAGCACAGCGTGCCAGGAGAACGTTACAGAAAACATTCCCTTTCTCCCAGCCTTGCCCAGCACCCACCTCAGCAGGAACACCTCCATTTCCCCCCATAAACTGCCGTCTCACATCCAAAGTTCTTGCCTCACATCCACTGTGAGCACACACAGCATTAGCTCTCACAGCCACACCTGCACATAATGGAGGCTCATGCCATCCCTTTCCAGTAAAAGCTCCTCAGGAAGCTCCCTAAGGAAGGACTTGTTCTTCTACATGTACCCCTCAGCTACCAGTTGCTGTAATGTATTTGACTATTCCTTAAAATTGTTGCTTTTGCACAAAGGATGATTTTATATATATATATATGTATGTAATTATATATACAATTTAGGACAAAATTAACATGGAGTTCCCAACCAACAGAGCATGAGAGTAGGAGTTAAGAAGAGCGGGAGACACTATCCTGTTTCCCTAAAGGCAAGATTCCAACCCAGCCACAAGCAACGTGTCCCCAGCAGTGCCAAAACACTTGGATAATGAATAGAGTATAAAATACAGCACAGGAGCTGTAATCAGGACACCTGAAACAGGGGATGGTGCCAAATTCAGGCTTAAAAGCTGCAAAACAGCTCTGCGTGTGTCTCCCTGCTGGAAGCTGCAGATGACCCACTCTGCCACTGCAGCTGTACCTATATATAGTTTAAAGAGAGACTTGACTATAAAAATACATCTATAGATACAGTCTAAGCCCAAATAGGCTACACAGCTGCAGGCTTCAGCACCCAAATAACTTAAAATATTGTGCCTTGATCATATTATTCTGGGTTTTCCACCGGTGCAAGAGCAGGGCGAAGGACCTGGATAAGAGCAGGAGGGGTTCAGGCATGCTTGTGGTCAGGAGGTCCATGAGAGTTCACCTTCAATCCCCACAGCCCATGACAAGGAAAAAAGGAATGGGCATCAAAAGTTAAGGGAAAGATCAATTGGTAAGAGTAAAAATTTATTCCCTCTCACTTCAGTTTTTCAAGAGACTCACTGTGTTTGTTCCACAGTTCTGCTTCTACACCAAAAATCCCTTCTGGTGTAAAGGCAGCCCTGAACCAACAGGTCACGTACACTTTGCATTTGTGCTCGTGGAAAAGGTTTTCTAGGCTAAACCCTGCAAGAAGTCACCTACTGAGCACCAGACACGATGGGAAAGGTCTGAGGAAACAGCTGGATTGCCAAAACACTCATCAAACCAGTACATAAAGCACCAGGTAAAAAACCCCCACTTCTCGTATCACCACCACGTTTCAGTGTGTGGGAAAGGAAACACAACCACCAGCCATGGGGAGGGAAAACAAGCCAAAAAACAAAGGAGAAAATTGCACAAGGCACAGAGGGCAAAAGGTATTCAGCCATGCCCGCTCCACACATTATTCACAGGGTGGGAGAACTGGACCGTCCCCCTTTTCCCAAGAGAGATGTACATGGCTTCATCTGTGTGATCAGCCAGGGAGCAACATGGCCAAACACACTGGATGCCCAAGTGGCCCCAGCTTTGTGCTGTGCCTGCAGCCCAGAACGGCTGGAGCAGCTTTGCCCTCTGCTGGTCCCGCGAGGCCCCTCAGCCCATCCCAGGCAGGAGCCCCTCTGTCCCACGGACACCCCTCGGGGCTGCCACCCTCACCTTCCCCAGGCCGGCAGAGCAAGGCTGACGTACAGCAAGGGACTCGTGAGTGCCTTAGTCAGGGAACAGCCTTAGTTAAAAGTCTGGAAGAAGAGTAAAAGCAACCCTCTGAATTCAATGGAGCTGCAGCGCCTGCCCCAGCCCAGAGAGATAAAAGGGGCAAGTAAGCGACCTTTTAATTAAATCACACCACACTGCAAGGCTTTCCTCATCCCACTCAGGATTCCTGATTGCATTCCAAGCCCTTTCTTTTGCCCAATTCACCAGGATTGCACACCGCACCGAAACATTTGGAAACAGCGTTCCTGGCAGGCAGCTACCGCTGAGGGGTGCACGGGGCCAGGGAAGAGAATCCCTACGGCAGGAATACAGGCAAGCCCGGTCGCTCCCAAGGGGCCAGGGCTGGTTTGTCCCACCCCTTTACCCCTCTCTCTCCCCCACTTGTTTTCCCGCTCGGATGTTTGTTTGGTTCCACTCACGGCGATAAAAGCGCAGCCAGCGTTTGCCCGGCACAAAACCAGTCACCCTGGCAACGGCGAGCAAAGCTTTCCCAGATTTTCCCGCTTGGTTCTTCCCCTGGTTTTGCAGGGATCGGCGCGACTTGGGTGAGGGCTGCATGTGCCAAATATGCCGTCAGCAGGGGCACAGGCAGCGATGAATAGGAGAGCTGGCCCGGCTCTGCTGGAAACCAACAAAAACTTGAGTGCCGCCAAGTCCCCGGAGAGCCGGCGACTTCCTCACACCATCCACAGCGACTTGTAGGTAAATGCATTACCCCCTCACTCAGCCACATCTCAAAGTCACCCAAGCATACCTTATCTAATTAGTTTTCCAGCACTGTGCAGCATTATTCCCGTGATTTAATCCTGCCTGGGATCATTAGACACCACGGTACCCTTAGGAAAGCAATTATGACACTGACCTACGTTTTCAGGGGCCTGGGCAGGCAAGTGCCTTTGTCATCTGCCAGAGGGTAATTTCCTAATTTGATTTAGAGCTTCTCTAGAAAAAGATAATTTACTTACCTGCTGGCTTTCAAGGATGCCTTAAAGCCTGTTTAAACTAGTGCACTGACTATATTTTGGAGGAAAAGAATCCCCAAAACACCAGTGTTGGCTGTGTAAAAATAAAACAGGTAAGACAGTCTTGCTCCAGGTAACAGGAAGATGAAGACAATCCAACTTCAACATTAACACAAGGTGCAAAAATCAAATTTTTAAAGGCTTTTCTACACTGCAGGAGCGGGCAGAAGGGGCAAAGCATCATGTTGTGAGTGGGATACTGTGCTACTGGAAACCTGCAGGTCCAGTAATCCTGGGACATCAGGCAGGTGCTCCACTAACACCAGTCCTGCTGCTGCCACGCTGAGTCTGCAGCTCGTGGGGGAGAGGTAAAAATATGAGTGCTAAAAATAATGTCAGATTCAGCCCCGTGCTGGGTCACAAAGAGCAAAAAAAAAAAAATCGATGATGGGTTCTGCTCCAGGCAGATGGATGTGGAATGATGCTGTGTCAAAACAGTCAGGGGAGACAGGGAAAAAAAAAAAAAATCAACAAAACCAAATGGGCACTCCAAGGTTAGGAGTTCCTATAATTTTACAGTATCATCCTGAATTTCTAAGTAAAGTGTATTTCTTGGGGGAAAAAAGTCACTGTTGGAAGCTCCTAGAGGTGAAATATAAAGTACTTTTAGGGATGCAACTCCTGAGACAGTAAAACTCAATAGCTGGACTCCTCAGCATGTGATGGGAAGGGATAACAGCAGCAGAAATTCACGGTCACATGTATTTAAAGATAAAAAACAAACCATTCTGGCATACTTGAGAATCCAAGGCTTTGTAAAAGCATCTAGACCATCCTCTCCATTCCTGACTTCTCAATTAAGAGCAAAAATGCTGTTATTAACTTCTTCAGGAAGTAATAAACACCGACTGTCCTTCCCTGCTGAAGCAGATTGCTGCACTGGTTTAGAAAGGGAGAAAAACAAAAGTCATGTTCAAGTGTAAGGAATTTACCTGTACAAATATGGGAAGGGGCAAAGGGGTGACTTCTGTGTGTTAAAGTCAGAAAATATTAATACAAGACTAGTAACTCCCAGACTTCGGCTTTTGCAGTTCAGTTCCACTCTCCACCACACATAAAAAGTCTGAATCATTTATGAGCTGAATTATTTATACCGTGGATATATTTTTGACTCAAAATGAACTTCAGCAGCAAAATCCCAAACATTTTACCCAGAGCAGGCTTTTGGGTTTATTTTTCCCTTTCACGTCACAGAGACGGAAAAAGAAAACAAACTGTCTTTTAGGCAGGATGCTGAGGAGAAAAAAAAAAAAACATCAATGGATCAATTCTTTTCATAGGTAGGTATGGAAACGACTTTTTACCGTGTCATCAAATATCTTACCCACCTAGGATGAGAGGAGCTCAAGATTAAATAACAGTAAATAAAAAATGCTGCGATTGGACTAAACACTTAAATACTGCAGGAGTCCACAGGGCAGTGCTTGGCACACAGGTCAGTTCTTCGCCTTCCCCCACCTTTCCCCTGGGAGGAATCCTCCGCACACCATTTCCAAGAACCATCAGCAAGGCTCTTCCCCTGCAGCCCTTTTGTTTGTCCCTTATCTTGCACTTTTCCCCTCTGTCTTCCTGCTATCTCCAGCCTGATCGCTGCTATTCCCTCTCCATTGAGTCGTGCTAATCCCCTCCATTCACTCCCTCCCTGCCAGCGGGCTGAGTCACTCACAAGTGCAGCCTTGTGTAGAATTCCAATTTTACCTTCAGGGATTTTTTAAATATTGCCAGCCTCCCGTGAAATACTTGAGAGCCATTAAAAAAGTCACCATCTTAACCTGTGAACTGCACGACTTTTAACACTTCTCTGCAAGTGAGAACTGCTTCTGGAGCCAGAGCAACCACAGCTATCAAACAAAGATATTATTTCTTCCACCGAAGATTCTTCTAAAACAAACAAACAAAATATCCAAGTTCAGTTTAGTGCGTATTTATACAAGGAAAACTTGTCCCAGACTTCTTCACGACAGCCTTAGCCAATTGAAAATACAGGGAAAATTATTCTGTACTTTGAAACGGTTTGATGGGCTAAAGAGAGGCCTAGAGAGGTTTATGCAGCATTAACCACTTTTATTATTTATGGTGTCATAAAGCAAATGGAATTAGGGATATACAACAGAAATTTTCTCCTGCATTTTATTTTATAACCTAGTGTACAAAACAACGTACAAAAAATATAATCCGAAAAAAAAAAAACAGAACAAAAAAAAAGCCAACCCCAAAAGTGAACTAAAGCAAAATCTTCCACATTTTCCAGAAAGCTTCACCTAAAGGCTCAGAAGCAGCAAACATTCAGCCTATTCCAAACTGGGTCCAGAGCCATCTTCTCACTTGCAGTCTGCAGAGTTGTGGCTCCTGGGCTTAGTTGCTGTGAGCACTGGTGGCTGTGGGGGTTGGTTTTGGTAGGCTGGTTTGGAATACCTACAGTTCACACTTTTGAAGATCATCGGGCCTGGTTAGTTGGCATCAGTGAAGCGAATGTGTTTGCTTGTCTGTTGAGTCTTCTCCAGTCTCATCTTCTCAGCCTTGGCAATCAACTGCAAACAGGAAAAATACCACAGAAAATTAGAGGAAAGTGATATCCTTAGGATTTGATCTCCCAGGCAGGGATATATTGTTCAGTGCTTCACCAGATTACCTAAGAAAAAGTTTATCTGAGCAGCTGAGCTAAGCTAGACAGCTATCAAAAATATATATAAATTCAGTATTGCCTCAGAATCATCCAAAATAGAAGCATCTCTTCAGTTGCTGATCAGTTGCTTTCACTCCATCCCTTCCTCCTCCCAACATGGTTGAAGAGAACAAGATATTAATTTTAAAGTTTTAAAATACAGTCTCATATAATTTAAAGAACTCTTTAAATGAATCCTTTTATTGGATTCGTTTTGTGAGAGATGTAGGAAAAACAAGGTTAGGCTAGAAAAGGAGTGCTTACGGAATATTGTGGCATTTTAAGCAGGAAAAAAACCCACGAACCACCAATACACCACACTGAAACCCCACACAAACCACTCAAGAACAATAAAAGCACAGAAAAACCACCCACAAAAATAAAACCCCCACAGAAACCCCACACGTGAATACAAACACATAAACCCACTAAAAACACACACAAAACCCACAAGCCCCAAGAGATAGAACACACTGAAACCACAAACACACACAAAAAACCACAGCAAAACGCACATACACAATCCACAGAAACCACAAATCAACACGAGAACCCCCCCCAGAGAAGCACAAGGAAAAGCCCCACAAACAGCACTAAAACATAAGTAAAGGCAGATACAAACCCCACACAAGCCAACACCAGGAATGGACTCAGTGACAATATACAGAGCCCACAATCTCCCCCACAAACCACCACTCTTACCAAGTAATAATACAAAGAGACCCAAACACCACCAACATTAAACAACCCAAAAGTATGCAACTCAAAAGAAATACACAAGATAAAATTACCACAAGTCTCCCAACCCCACAGAACACCCCAAAAACCTAATTAATAAATATACTCAAAGGCACGTACAAACCCCACACTCAAACCCTACAAAAACCCACACTCAAAGGGCACATATAGAACCCAACAAACACACACAAAACACACAGACAACCACAGAAACCATAAACCAACACACAAACCCACACAGAAACGCAGGCACGCCCCACACAAGGCACAAAACCACATTAAAAAAAAAAATCAGAACAAAACCAAACTCACCTATAAGACAATAAACAACCCCTAAAGTAAAATACACGAAAACCAACCAAACAAAAACACACCAAAACAAAAAACCCCACAATAACTTCTGTGCTGGGAATAACTCAAATGTATCAGGTATTGCTCTGGGGAAGGGGTCTTGGCTCACGGGCAGCTCCACTTTGTTGTATTTGAGTAATTTCACATATAAATCTAATTATTTGTTCCTTCTGCATGACTGTGGCGTCAGTGTGTCCTGCAGACAGTACTGAAGTGCACAGGATGCTGCTGCATTGACTGACAGCTGGAATTCCAGAAAGAAAGGAATAAAACTGATCTAAAGTTGTTACTTTTACTCTCTGATATCTAAAAAAATGACTAAAAGAGTTTTAACAGTAAGAAGTGAGGAGTAACAGTGGTTTACTCGTTGCACACATGGGATGGAGAATTCCAAACAAAGGAAGTTCTAGGACATAACTGCCCGGTTCCCACCAGTGACAGTGTTTTTCCCACCAGTGCCTCAGAATTCACAAGAGGCCTCAAGGATTCCTGTTTCCAGCTCATCAGTCCAGGATCAGCACCTCTATATGAGCACACTCCTGTCTCCCAACAGGTCTCCAGCCCTTCCACAGACACCAGTGGGCCAGGGAATTGGGGATATGCTGTGGAGTGGGAGCTGTCCCCATGGGCCCACCCCCAGGGAATTGCCCAGCCTTGCAAGGGCACAGCCCCGGAGCCCCAGGCATCATCAGCAGAGAACAGTGTGGGCTGTGCCCAGACATTCCCGCTATCCTCCTTCTCCATACATCCTGTAAATTATGCCACCCTTCACAAATACCCAATTCTCACTCCCTCACCAAATGCCTTTCACTTCTGCCTCCCCTCCCACCCTCTTAAACTTCCTCCTTCCCTCTGGGAAAGGGGGGCACAAGGTGCAAACGAGGTTCCTCCCCCCCGGGAGCCAAGGATCCCAGGGGAAAGCTTGCAGGCACTCACTCCTTGGCTTTGGGAACGGGAGACTCCAATCAGTCTGGAGTTTAAGGCTACAGACTGATGGATTGCTCTAGGTCTGAATAAACTGGCACTGCCCTTTTAAAAAGCAGTTCTGGCAGGAAGGTTTGCCCTCAGTAAATCACGGAGGTGGTTTTCTCAGGCTGTAAAGACACAGACAAAAGAGAAGATGGATTTGGAAGGGGCAGCATAGGGGGTGACAATGAAGGACCAGGCCCGGGGGAAAAGCCTGACACTGAACACCTTTTTCAGTCCCAAGGACAGCCAGGTCTTAGTCAAGTTCTGGGACATTAAGTTTATAATTATAAGAACTACACCAGAGAAAGTAAAATCTCTACTTAAATGTAATCTAATCAGGTTTGGGTGAGCATTATTACAGAAATCTGCTCAAGTTATCTTTAACCCTCATCCCAGGGCAAGAGGAGCAAGAGGTTTATACTTTTTAGAAAGCACAGAAAAGAGCAATTTCTAACTGCCTAAAGTTACACCCATCTCCAAAGTGTGGTAAGGCATTTCAAAACATTACCAGAACAGACCTTTACGAGAACGATACACTAATGGCATGTTTTAATGTAGATATTTTATTATGAATAATTACCTTTTTCTTCCTTGTAAGCACTAAGGAAGAAATTTTCTAATATTAAGCACTGCATACCATCAATAGGTATTTTGGGAATACAGCCTGTCCAAAAGCAAGGAAAGGGTTAAGAGTTCCTGACTGCAGCCAGGCATTCTTGTCTTGATGTTTTGCTCGACAGCGTTAGCATTTAAATGGAATTCCCTGGACTTTGAAGTTCACACCTCCCGGTGTGGGCAAGGTGATGGGCAGGGGGGAGGAGCAGGAGTTTGCATCCCTGTGCCGCCTTTGTTAGGCAGGAGCGAGACAGTTTGTATTTGAGGTGCATTACTGGCCAATTTACACCGCTTTGGTCAACAAGTACCAACCTTCAAAAGAGGAAGAGTAGAAACCGGAGAGCAAGTCTAAGTTAAAAGTCTAAGGTGCCGCTTTGGTTTAAAAAAGTAAAAGTACATTAAAAAAAAAAATAACTGGCAGCATTCAGTAAAATGCTCTGAAGCTGTAGAGCTTTCACATTCCCTTTCTAGTCATATTAAAGAAAAATGGTTCAAGTCAATGCCATCTTTAGGCTTTTAAGAAAATTAAATCAGCCCTTTGGGCAAGTTCTTTATGCACATGTTTGTTTAAAAGAACTCTGCTCATTAGTCTATGGGATCTCTGAGAGAACATTCAGGCAAACAGGGTAAGACACATCCAATATGCCTCTGACCTGTACAATCCCTGTTCCTCTAGGCCAATTAAATATTTATTTTCAATTATATATGTAACTTCTCCCCCCCCCAGCATCCAGGAAACAGAGTCTCCAAAGTCACCAGCAAATAATTAGGGTCAGATGATCTGAAGTTTTGCAAGCAGCAGCAGCGGAAAAATTCAGGTTAAAGCCAACCCAGAAACCTTATCTGCAGTGTGTGTGGAGCAAAGCTGGCAATAAAAGGCCTGTGAAATACTCTTTGGCTCCTCTCTGTCAGGTTAAGGATCTGACTGGCTTAATCAAGGAACCCTTCATGCCTGCAGGGATCTTGTGTGGCAGGAGTGGAGGCTGCAGCCAGAGAGTTCACTGCAACGCCCCCTCAACTCCGCCCCCTGACAGGCACACCAAGGTCAAAGCTGGAAGGGAATTTCCCCAGTTTGGATCTGGAAGCTGGACAGCCATGGGTGCTTGCCAGCATTCACCCCAGCACAGAACTGTGCACGAAAAAAACTGGGCAAGTTATGAGGGAAATGAGATTCATCCTCAAGAAACCCATTTTCTGGATCGTAGTAGACTATTACCAGTATAGCACTAGACTTGATTTCACTGGAGGACATCGAGACTACTTAACTTCCTCAGGAGCTCATCCAGACAGGGTCTGAGAAGAAATTCAGTTTAAAATTAACTTCAGGCCTTTAGACACAGACTTAACTTTCTCTGATTGTCCCCATAAAGACAAGCCTTGCACTTGGCAACTGGGCCAGGACAGAAACACGTTCTCTCCTTTGTAGCTGTAAAACTCTGCTTCAAAGTCAGTAGAAAATTATTTAACTGAATTAAATACACAAAGTATCAAACATTATGGATCTACGCAGAAACAGAGTCATGTTTTCAACCGTGGCCGTGCAGGAAAGAGATCTGATTTGCACATTACCTTCTCAGTCCCCCTCTTCTTTTCTCGAGGCTGGTTCAGTTTAGCTTGTCTGTCCACCAAAATCTTCTGCCAGTAACGCTGTTCATTGTCACCTTGAAGGAAAAATAACATTGAGGTACATGAATAAAAGCAGGACACAGGTAGATGTCCTGTTTTCAGCTTTCTAAGGTAAACACATGGAAATACCTGATAGGGAAACCCAATAATTATTTCCCCTGTAACCTTAAGTTTGCTGGTCACAGGAGTCATACAGAATCCCTCTGTACATGTCACTAGCAAAAGGAGCTGAGTTTGAGCTGAAGTTTCACCACAGCGCATGGAGATGCTTTGATTTACTCATGTACTCAACCTCTGACTCATTTTAAACAACTACCAAACAGAAAAAAAGTAAGTAGTTTAAGAACAACTGAGACTGTTTTATTTCATCAAAACCATTGCCTGGGGACTCCATGAGCTGTCAGGACTATTTGAACATGGCCAGCAAACACAAGGGCAAATAACGGTGCGGCTTTTCTCAGCAACTGCCTTGTAGTTAAGTTGAAGTTTTCCACTGTTCCCTCTGGTTTAGGATGTAACTGCCACAACAGGAACTTTGTGGTGTGTTGCATGGGCTCACAGTTCAGCTACAGCAAAGTTTCCCAAAAATATTCCTGCAAAAGTTAAGCAGCTATGATAGTGTTCAGATCTTACCACCTTGCCGGATGAAAAGCTGAGTATCTTTAGTAGTCAAGCGCTAATAAATGAAATATTAGTGCGAAGGATTTAGTCCCTGCAGTAAAGAGCATTAAAGATTCCTTCTTTCTTATTCTCTCACCTTATGCCAGGGAGCAAAACTAAAATCCTTACTGTGAGTCCCTTGTGCTTTCCTGGGAAGCTTTTCCATTCTCATTTCAATGGGACAGTTAAAAAAAAAAAAAAAAAAAAAAGAAAACTCCTAATACTATGAATGGAATGCTCCTATAATGGAGTAGTTACTCCTAATCTACTACCACACTTTTATGTAAGAACACAAAACCAGGGACAAACAGAGCACTCAGCTGTAAAAGCCAAAATTTGAAGCTGTTTCTGGATCTGTGGAACACAGAACACACTGGAGACAAATTTCTCTCCAAATGACATGAACAGCATTCACTGAGTCTTAAATTTGAATTAACTTTGATATTATAGTGAAGGTTGATGCTTATAATAAAGCTTTTCCTTCCGCAATCCTCAACTGACTTTTAGGGGAGTTTACAGCCCTGCACTCATGGAACTGGACTTCATGTGAGGGTCTGTGCAGGAGTGGACTAAAAATCTCAACCACAGATGAGGGAATCTCATCTGCACCTTTTTTTTGCCTTTTTGGAATTTCTAGTGCATGTCTAGAATTTAAAAGTTTTATTGTGAAATACTTGCTCTTTCTACTTCTTAATTTCTTACATTTTTCTACACTTGCAAAACTAATCCAATCCAAGACACGAGGTAATCTCAGAAAGAAGTGATACACACTGAAATGAAGTTGCAAAGTTGAGCCAGTAAATATTTTTGTGTAAATAAAATTAAGGAAAAAAAAAAAGGTAATTCTGGCCTAAGTTATCCAGCCTCCTGAAAAATCAAGATCAATTAGTAGGTAAGTGCTAAACCCACTGTAAGTGTATCCATGCTGCTAGACCCTGCTCCAGTAATTTCACACATCACTTCTGTATTTAAGTCTCTTCAAAATTCTTTTGCATCATCAGAATGTTCTATTCATAAAGCTGACATGTGAATTAAATTGTACAGTGCATTGCCACTGAAAGGGAAGCAAATCAGTCCAAAAAACACCTCCAGCATTAAGTTACTAACAAGAAGCAAAATTTATTTTTGTCTGGAAAGTGGTATAAAACCCCTTAGAATTTTATTAATTTGACTAATTGTGAAGTTACTCACTAAAAACCAAGCAGCCTTCTCCCCAAACAGAGATATTTAAAAACATATCCCTGACGCCACTATGTGAAACAATCCTTTCCACAGTGCCTACATCTTGTCCTGTATTTCCACTTAAAAAAAAAAAATAAAAAACCACAAAAACCCCGAAGTCTTACCAGTGAGAATTTCGAATTTGCAGTCGTTTTTGATCTGGATTTCTTTGTGTGACTTCAGGACAGTCTGTGCATCCTCGGGAGTCTTGAAGCGGACGTGGCACTCGGTGTCTCCCTCCAGCATGTCAACATAAGCCACCTCAGCCAGCACTGCCAGAGCATCCTGTCAGAGCAGGAGGGAGAACACACACCATAAATCAGCCTTCAGAAGGAGAATATAAAAAAGAAAAAAAAAAGTGACTTTTGACCATTCCATTTGGAGGTCATTAACATTTTCAAAAATGTCATGAATCCATCAATCTCTTGTCAAATAGTTTTGAGTTACTATGTTTTCCTAAGGAGGTTATACCTGAATTCTGATTTATGAGCCTACAACATCTGCCCATCTCATCCTGCCCTCCAACAACTTAAAGCAGCAATTTCTGAAAAAGTTGATTTTTTTTTTTTGCACAAGTATCATTTTCAACACTGTATCTGCCTTTTTTTAAAGTTATTGGCGTGCTATAACAACTTTGACCCCACAGAAAATAGAACACTTTATTCAATGCATTAAATATATAAAACCAAGCCCACTCATGGCAGATTATCTGAGAAATGAGAGCAGTAAAGCAACTCTTTCCATCTTTATGAAGTGACCCCTGCCTGATAGTTTTCACTGACAGCTAAAGGAAGAGAAGTCACAAATGTTCTTGCAGATGAAGTACTTGACTTGTAATTCCTGCTGTTAGGGAAATTAACCACGACCACACATTCCTACTCAATTTGGTTCCCAGCAGGCAGCTCCACTAAGATGCTCCCATTCAGGAACCCCACACTGCTTTTAACCCTCCACTACCAAGGGCAGCCTTAAAACCAAACAAAAAGTGACAACGCTGCTAAAATCATTGGAGAGCCACCAAAAGCTGCTTTCCAGCCTTATTCTGGTATCCCAATGTCATGAGTGCATGGGAAACTACAATGAGTTGAGTGGAATTTACAGCTACAAGAGTTTACTGGAGCTGGCAAACGTGAGCAGGTCGGAGAAGCACTTTAAGAGCAAAACAGGGAAGAAATAGAAAATTAAAACATCCAAATAGTATTTGGGGCGGTTTTATGCAGCTGGTGGTCCAAAAACACAGCAAAGCCAGGTTTGGTGGTAGTTCTTCCTTCAGGAGTTACACAACCAATATGGTCAGGAAAAAAAAAAAAATCCCCAAAAAGTCAGTTTGGTGCTATTTTATTAGTAAGTTTTCCTCCTGCCCACGCCGTGTTAGGGTGTGACACAAAGCAGTGAGGTGTATTCTGCAGTCCAAGGAGCTCTCAAAGGTTAAAGGGACAACTGCCACATTCCCTCAGTGTCTCCAGCACTGACAGCTGCCTGCAAATCCACCAGATAAGGCTGATTAAGTTGAAACCCCATCATCAGTGGGTTTTCAGGGAGAGACTCTCTCCTCTTGCTTAGGTTTATGCCCACACTAAACCTCACACACTTCCCAGTGACTCCAAATGGCTTCCTCAGTCATAAAAATCCCCTCAGAACTCCTGTTTTGATCCACGTGAACCACTGACATAAGTGGTCTGGATATCAAGTTGCTCAAATCCCTTCCAGTTGTTATTCATCCAAAAGTGCAATTTGGGAAAGAAAATGTCCTCTGTCATACATGGAAGCTTCAGTATCTGGAAAAACGCTGTTATTTCCTTTGGAAAACTTGTAATATTTCCATTTCAAAAGGATGCAGCTTAAAACTGGTATTTTCCTTAAAAGGGAAATATTCTGCTTAGCACGTGTAACTTTTTTATGGTGACATCACACAAAATGGAAGGTATCCTAAACACTTACAAAGAGGAAAAACAGCACTTGGCATAGGAAAAAAAAAGAAAGTGACAGATTGGACAGGCTCTACTGCTGTCACTCTCCCTGAAATGGAATTTGTCATGGCAAAGTTATTACTGGGAAAAGAAAAAGAATTGTGGATTTTTTTTTTTTTTTTTTTGAGAGAGAGTATTTTCCTGCCCCTTAATTCCTGGTAATGGAATTAAAAAATATGCTTTTATATTAATGAGAGAAGCATTTTTATGGATTTCTTATCAGGATGATCAGCACGGTGGTAAATACAGAGCTCTGCATCAGTGTCAACCTCTTGTTAAGTGGAAAGCACTAGAGACTTCCTTATTTTTGTCCACATTTTCATTATAAACTTGACATTGCTCAAAGCACACTCAAGGCTTGTTTTTCCTTGGAAACATCCTCTTGAGCCCATTTTGCCCTTGTAAAATCTATTTGTTCACAGGTAGCAGAGAGGAATCTGTAGGCAGCTGCTGGCCAAATAGATTAAAAAAAAAAAAACCACCACCCAGCCAGGCTGGGTTAAAGGGTATTCCATATTCAAACATTTGGGGGGCACGGAGAGAGGAGGAAGGGCCAACAGCTTCCCTGAGGATACAAAGGCATTACCTTGATGTGCTTCCTGCCCGGCAGGGGCTCGGTGCTGATGATCTTCACAATTACTCCGCTAACGAACTGAGGCCCCATTGTGTTGGCCTTGGCGGGAGGGGCACAACCGGCACTGGTGGCTGCTCAAGTTAAAAACGGGGTGGGGGGAGAAAAACCACCAAAAGAAAGTTTTTAACTCTATTACACTGAGAAACTAAAGTTTGAAAGCATAGAAGTAATATAACATAAACAAGCAATAAATATTGTTACTGCAGATACGCTGTGGTGTTTCAAACGAAGGTCAAGGTTGTCCCCAGGTTCAAGTCAATGTAAGTAAAGAAAGAAAAACCTCTTCAAGAAAAAAAAGCTTACAGAGGTTTTTACAGTCTCCTTAAAAGAATATTTTATATTCTATTGATTAGATTAACAGTTGAACCCTCAATTTTAGAGCAATCAAAAACATGCAGAGGCATTGGAACACCGGTGTCAAAGTTAGTGAAAAGCACAGAAAATTCACAACAGAACAGTTCTACATCCAAAAAAGGTAAAAATTTAAATATAAGGACATAATTAACAAGCTCCTTTTAATCATAAAGCAGATAAAGCCCAATTGCAAGCTGGCTTTTTTTTTTTAATGCCTTACTTAGATGGAATTGTTTTGTGAATCCCTGCAGGTACATTTAAGCCAAAGCAAATTAGGCCCGAGCTGCAGGCCCAAAAAAGCTGATTCCTGATTTACCTCTGAGGCTTTTAAGATTACATTTACCTAAAAATATCCTTAAGCTTAAGAAAGGCTACTGGAATATGCTGAAATGGCTTGTTTGGTCTTTATAAATAAAGCACCTTATCCCGAATCTATCTAAATACAGAGGGGACATTGCTTTTAGTATGAGGCATTCAGAGAAAGCATTTCAGAAAATAAACCCATGTGGCAGCGTTTCTGCAAGATCAATCTTAGATCCCTTCTTGCTGGTGTAATAGAAACATTAAAAAAAAAAAAAAAAAAAACAAAAAACAAGCCAAAACTCAGGATTACTTTTGTGGTTTTCGGATTTCTGTGCACAGGACTCTGTTTCCATCTCTCCCGCGGGCTCAGGTTTGATCTGAGACATGGTTTTCTTTAAGGAGGACATACTGGCTTTCTGCAGGGCCAAATATTCTTGCTTCAAACCCATCCACTCGGCCCTGGAAGAGGCAACACAAGCACAGCGTGGCAGTTGTAAACAAGCAAACGCTTAGAAACTTCATGGCAATTGAAGAGTTGACAAACAACTTAAGGCAGACTTGGTGAGCAGTGCGAACCATTGGAGATCCTCCTGCATTTCGGTCAAATTAAACCTTGTTCATATCCAATTTTAAATTTTTTTTTTTTTTATTATTTCGATTTAATAAGCCAGGAGAGTTTCAACAGGACCAACCCATCGTTCCAATGGACAGGCTCCCAAATCTACTGTAAGGATTGAGACAGCAAATAGATCAGTTTGGTGAACTTGTGTTTTTCACTGGAACTACACAGAGCAGAGGCATAAACTCAGAGTTAATTCAGAGACAGTGAACTCCGAATTCACTGAATTAGTTCACTGAACCCACTCCCGTGTCACTATACTAAGAATCCCTCATCTATTTTCTGGAAAAAATCATTGATGGAAAATCAACAGCTGGTTAAACCCACCAAAAAAATAAAAAAAAACCCCACCGAGATAAGGACATTCCTCACTATTCAAATGCATGTGGGTTAAAAAATACCCCCCCCATGGAAGCAATTTATATATTTACATACATTTAACATGGAGATGTTTCTGCAAACAGGGAGAGCTTTGCTCCACAGCAACACAATGCCCGCAGTGCCACTGTGAGAACGACTCATTGTTACCCTAATCTGCGCTATCAAACAAGCTGATAGAGGATTTTTAAAGAGGAGGATATCTTGTGGTAATGGTTTTAGCTGTTAACAGTGACAACTGTATACTTCAAAAAAAAAAAAGGAAAAAGCAGCCAGACTCAGCCGGGATCATACATTCTCAGCAGAGCAGAGGCATTAAAATAACAAAAGGCCCACGTAATGATTCTTGGAGATAAAAAGGCAGCACCATGCCCTGGCAAGGCTTGGTATAAATACAAGCTGGTTAACTTACCTCCAAGGAAGAGGAGACCAAAGGTTCAGGTAACTATCTGCATTGCTTGTACCCTGTTTCGACTTTCTATCTCTCTCTCTTTTGCTAGAGTAAAAGAAAATTTCACCAAAACTCTCTATTTGTTGCAGTTTGCTCAGAAGCCTGATGGAAGTAGACCAGCACAATCAAAAACTGTTCGTTTTTTTTTGGTGGGTGTGTGTGTGGACCCCTTTTACTTTAACATGGAGGTGCTTTCTGTGATTTAGAAAAAGTAAGTGCTTCCATGTTTTAGTAGAGGTGGAATCCTGATCGCAATCCTCCACTACCCACCGGGATTTTACTTTGGGTTTTTTTGTTTGGTTTTCTTGTGAGTTTTTTGTGGCTACACTTCAGCTGAAAAATTTTTTTTTTTATCATTTGGGAAAAAGATGAAGACTTTTCAGCGGAAGCAGATCTTCAAGAGTAAAAAAATTTTAATGGCTAAGTAGTTCGTTTTTAAGTTTAAAGGACTTCCCCTTTGCTTTAACATGGAGGTACCTGCTGCCTAAAAAAGTAAGTGCTTCCATGTTTCAGTGGCGGTGGATCCTCATATTCCAAGGATTCTCAACTGCAACACCTCCATGTTCTTTATTATTGCATTGTCCTAACTTAGTATATACCTTGGGGTGGGGTTTTTTCAAGCTAATATTTGTAGTTTCTCCACCGAAGGACCCCCACAACTTTAATGTGGATGTACTTGCTTTGTCCAGCCATAGTAAGTGCTTCCATGTTTTAGTGGTGGTGAATCCTTTTTTTTCCCCTCCACACTTCCCTCTTAAGAAAATGTATCAAAATACCGACAAAATGTGTTTATAAATAAAGCACAATTTTCATCGGCGTACAGCACAAGATGGCAAGGACCCCCTCGACTTTAACATGGGAGGTACTTGCTGGATGCCTAAAAAGTAAGTGCTTCCATGTTTTAGTTGTGGTGACTCCTCAGAGCCCAACAGAGCTGAATTAACTTGTGTTTTGCACAGACTTACACTATGGGAACTTCAGTCTACAGGCTAATACTGTTGCTAATATGCAACTCTGTTGTGTGAAACTGGAATTGCACTTTAGCAATGGTGATGGACTGTCGGATATGCAAAGATTTGAGAGCCTTCAATATGTGAGTTGGACAAGTTTTGTATAAAATAATACGTTTTAAGCAATAAAATTCAATAAAGTATGCAAAAGATGACTTTGAGAAGTTCTCCTGCAGTAAAACACACCTGAGCATTTAAAATATTTAAATTGTTGAAATCTGTGGTACCAAAACGTAACAGTGTTCACTTAATCCCCAAGGTAAAATTATAAACGTTGTAATATAGTAATAACTCCTGCCAGGAGAGGCAGTACAGTCTTTAATTAAAATACATAAAACCTATGATTAATTTACCAATAATCAAATCATAGGCCTTAAAGGTGAGAGAAATTTGGGACCACTTAAGGGTTCTGTTAGTCTTGAATTCACCCTGGAACAAACACTAAAACCTCCACCCAGTTATGTCACCTACTTGGACAGGACTCGGAGTGGGATGACTTCTTCCCCCATTTTGTGCCTTTCCTTGTGTTTCTTCTTGTGTTTCCTTTTAGCTTTGGAAAGAGATGTGTCTTTTTTATCTTTGTCCTCTTCTGCAGCAACTTCTACATTAAGAGGTTTAAAAGAAAAAAAAAATGTTTAGTTGTAACACTGAAGCAGTTTAAATACATTCTAATAAAATCATGGAATAAATACTGGGTTGTTTTTTTTCCATTGACTAATTCATCAATTACCTGACTTTTAACTCGTCACCCACTACATGTGATTCCAATGCTGCTTTCCTTATCTCACGGAACTGGGATCATCAGCATTTTCCTTTTGTATTTTAATGTATTTATCTAGATTCCCTTGCTGTCTCCATTTGCCAAGGCTGCCTGTTTAACCCATACTTTACTTCACTCAACTTCTATCAGTATGCACTGCTTTGAACTATTTTTACTTCTGATTAGATTTCCCTGCTTTGGTGTTGCAAGTTCTTCCCTATTCTGCATGCAGCTCCTCTCCTTGGAATGACTCCTTACCCAGGTTTAAATTTAAACCACATGTTCCTAAAGTGACCTAATCATTCATTACACCCACTTATCCATCAGTCAACCTGCCATTCCATTACATCCAGGCATAAAAACTCTTAAGAATATATCAGAGCCAACAACCTTTACCACTGGAATTCTTTGGAGCTTCTGTAGCTTCCTCTTTTACTGTTTTAGCTTCCTCCTTTTCAGCAGTTTTCTTGACTTTTGGAGCCGATGTCTCTCCATCTGCTGAGCTGGTTCTTTTTCTCTTCCCAGGCCTGCTTTCACAAGTTACCTCGGAGTTTTCTGTTTTGTCCCATTTCCTTTTCTCCCTCTTGGAGGGCTGCTTATGAGTCTCAGTTGCCTCCATTTCAGAACACTCAGATGCAGTCCTTTGTCTTTTTGATTTGGGTGTTGGTTCCGTGGTAGTGTTGGTGTTTGATTCCTTTGGCTCTGCAGCTGCCTGTGCATTGCTCTCTTTCTTCACTTTGGATTTCTTTTTTTTCTTCTTTTTCTTCTCCTCTGTATTAAAAACACCACATTTATAACTGCCCATGATTACGCACTAGATTAGATTAAGTTAATTAAACAATCATGATACCATGTGTCATGAGAAACTGGGCTGTTAAGTGAGATGCATCTCTGGGAGATGGATTTTATTTTTTCCACTAACAGTTAGTGGTGTAACAAAAATAGTGATAATTGTGAGGTGTATTAACATGGTTTATCATAAAGCTTATGAGAAACATGGGCAGTGCCTGAAATCTGGGAAGTCGTATTACACCCCCAGAAAGTAGGAAAAATGTTTCAGTGACTAAGTTGCAACATCATCCTGTGATGCTGCTTTGTAAATTAGAGTAGATTGTAGTTATTGGAACCGTGCTCAGATGTCAATTCTGGATTCTTTCCTCAGCAATATCCTTTTATTCCAAGTAATTATGAATCGTGCAAAGAGGAATTGTAAAGATGCTCTAAGAAGTTAATTCGTCTACAGAGTGCTCCTGCTGATAGAGCAAGAGTTCCACCTTCTTTTTAGCAGCTGAGGCACAAACCTGATCCAATTAACTTTAAACACTTACCTACACCGGTGCTGTTACTTGTGTTCAGTGTAGGAACAGGTTTATTCTTCACTGTTTTGGGGAAAATCCCAGGTTTCCTTGGTGCTTCTTCTGGTGGATTATTCAAAAACTTAGAGACGGAAAATGAAAAACAAACCATTACTAAAAATGAGGTTTTTTGAGACTCTCCATCCCAGTTCGAGCCAGCAGTCCTAATCATATTCCAATACAGAAATACTTTCAAGTCACAGTGAAATACAGGAAATTAGGCATGGCTGTGCTTGTCTGACAAAATTTAACTACTAAAGACCAAACTATTCACGTGACAGTGACACTTAGAACAATTTTGATAGGGCAAAGGCACCAGCACTCACCTCAATAGCTTTCTCTGCTTGCTCTTTGGTTTCAAATTCCACAAAAGCAAAGCCCTTTGGATCGCCAGTACTTTTGTACCGGGGTATACTGACATAAACCACGTTGCCACACTTCCCAAACACCCGCTCAATCCAACTGTGATTGACATTTTTGGGAAGCAGCTCCTAAAAAAGAAAAAGATAAAAATGGTCTGAGAACAAATTCATATACCTGTAACAAATGCATTACATACTTGACTTGGACATTCATCATCTTCCTGTGACAGACACCAAGGCCTCATATGCAGGTGTATCTTTGCAACGTGAATTACCCTGGTAAATTTAAAACCTTGGAGCAAACACAAGTCTGCACTTTCTCAAAGCACAAGGAATGTTTTACTTTTATTTTTTGCTAATTGGTGGCAGTGCAGGTATCTCAGAAAGAGTTCTAGGTCAGTACAGAGTGACTGCTGATGAATTCCTGCTGGAAGCTGACCTTTTCAAGTAAACCAGTCAGCACTTGGGACAAACTTTCAAGCAGCCTCTTGGATGGCACAACTGTCTGACTTTTATTTCTATAAAATCCTTAATACAGCAGCACATTTCAGCAGCTTGCAGCATCATCTCTGAGTCCCCCATTCCCATCCCATTCTCCTGTCATACCAATTTCTAACAGGACCCAACTGAATGCTTTCAAATCCCACTGTCAAATTCTTGCCTAAAGAACAGAATGTCAGTACTACTTTTTTTTTTTTCCCATGGGAAATTACTGCACCAAAGGGTTTTTCTTGTAGAGAAACATTTGTCCCATTCAGGTAGAAAATTATATTTGCATTAAACGTTCCCTGTCAGGGAAACATTTCATTGAGGTTTGCTCTGAAGTGCCAGTTACTTGAAGCTTTAAAAATATTATGGGATGAGTTCCAAATCACAGTACCTGCTTATGTTAAAGCATATAAAAACAGTCAGATTATTTCAGAGGAACTTGACTTAGCACCACTTCCCTTCTCCCCATTGCCACATCCCAGCTATTTACCAAACATTTAGCTGTGCATGGACAATGCAGCTCCCCACATTTACAGTATCTTATCCAAAAAAAACCGATAGGGACAAAGTATTCCACAAGTTCAAAGCAGTCCCTGCAATCGTGTTAGGAAAATATTATGTCTGGCACATCGTATTTACAAAAACAAACCCCCAACCACCTCTGCTGGGCTGTTTTTAAAGAAGGAACCATCAGAGTAATTCGGTGTCTCCTCATCTGGCTGGGCTGGTATTTAGGCCGTGATTACTGTGCATCTGTCCTGCTAGGTATTACTAATGCAGCTGCTTCCAGCTACAGGTTCTTAGTCATAAAAAGCTCTATTTTAGAGGCAAATGGAATTCCACACTGGTTTCAATATCAGTATTACAAAGAAAATGGCTTTACTATTAAAAAAATGCCCCGAGATTTTAACTTGCTGCAGCTCATCCATCAGATTTTTCCAAGCTATCAGTGAAGCTGCTCATCAATATGATAAAGTTGACACATCTGAAATGCTATGATGATACAGACTTTTCCCATCAGCAGAAGCTGTTTTCATGTGAATTAAGGAATCACTCCAGGAAAGCAGCCATAGGATAGCATGCTAATAGGAGGATTAAAAAAAAAAAAAGAAGTTTAGGAGAATTGTAAGGAAAAAGTTTAGGTATATTAAAGAATGATGTTTGTGTGTTACAAAACCAGAGGCACTTGCAGTAACAGGTCTTATAAACAGATTGTACTTTTTAAAGTACCCCTGATGAACTTGCAAACTCAGCCAGAGCCTGTTTGATGAAACTAATTAAGCTGTTATTACAAAGCTTTAACTACATTCATGTAATTAGTAAATCTGCCTTGGTACCACTGGTGTTCCTCTAATGGCATTTACAAGAAAAGCCCAGTGAACACAGCAATAGCTAAATCAAATTGCACCTTTCCTCACCAGCATGTGAAGCAGCTCTTGGCTCAGCATTTAAAATGATTTAAGAAATCCCTGTACCAAACTAACCCCTTCCCTGCCACAGCCACTTGCAGCTCTGTATTCACCTGATTAAAACAGGGGTGCACAAGCAGCAGCACCCGCCCAGTTCAGAAGATTATTGCTGCATAAATGTATTTTTGCACTCTTTAATTAAATGAAAGGAGTTGATAAGAGGGACCTGAGGGACACACCAGGCCGGCCTTACCACATAGACAGTCCGACTGTCCACATCCTTTGGCTTCTCACCCAGTGGTTGGCGTCTTCTGATTCTGGTTCCTTCCAAGTCCAGCTAAAAGGAAGGAGAAGTAAGCATTTTTCCATGAGGTTATTGCCTATTTCAGCACCTCAAACATAGAAACGTTAAATGTTTAAAATGTGAAAAGTGAAATACCTCTACAACAGAGGAGTTTTTAACTGCCCGAGCAATCAGCTTCTCATCAGTAGTTAATTTTTTCATTTTGTTGAAAGAAACAAGTAGTGATATGTCAACATCTAGGAGGAAAAAAACAAAGAGAACCAAGGTGTAAATTAAGAAGTGAGGGTAATGTTTTCTACTCAGTTTTCACCATCAAAATTCAAGTTTCAAGTACACCTAGATTTCATTTTGTTCCATGCTAACCTTTATCAAAGGAATTTCGTTCCTTCACCTCCCCGCTGCTAACTGCCGTCTTTGAAAAGAAAGGAAGAAATCCCCCCTTTCTGATGCAGTTTTACAAGACAAAAACAATTTGCATTGAAAACGTGCCTCTCCTTCAAGGCCCCAATTGAGCGTTTAAGCCAAGACAAAGAGCCCCTGCCTGCACTTCACTTGCAATGAGTCAGGCTACGAAAACCCGCGGAGAAAATTAAGTATTAGTCTTAATAGAAATGTAGACACCCAATCTCTAGTATCTGAAAAACGGAGGATAAATAATTATTAACGTAATAAATATATTTTAAGGGCTTCCTTTAAAAAGGGCTTTACAAGGAAGGAACTTTACTCTAAAATTCGATTTTTTTTTTTTTTTTAATAAAAACAAACTGGCTTAAAGGTCAATAGAATTGACGACTATACCAAGCACTTAGAAAGGTACATTCTCTACACAACACAACAGGATTCATGGTTTATATTTCAATTAAATAGGGACTCCTTAACAAAAATAAGGAAACACTTTTAAAAAAAAACCTTTTTTTTTTTTTTTGGATGGCAAAGTATCACCTCTTTTTAGACACATACTGCACTGTGAGTCCATTTGATGTAACACGTGATTTAACAATTATACTGAATGGCAATTTAGCACTCGCGGTACTGATTTTAAAAGCACAAGCGTATCAGTCACTGCGGCTGATGTGCAAATTAATTTCTTTAGAAACTGGAAAATAACTTCAGGTCCAAGCTCAGTTTCCTACTCTGAAGTCACAAATGAACCACCTGAAAAAACTGTCTAAATGACTCACAGTGGCCCTGTAAGCAAATGCACAATTTCTTATGTACCAAACCTGTACAGAAAGCACACCCCCGAATGACATTTTAATTTCTGCACATATCTACCCCACAAGACAAGTCACCTCCAAGACCAAAATGAGCTTTGTTTGTTTATTTTTAAAATTATACAAAGAGAAAATCAGGTCACCCAAAGAGTCATTTCCACCTGGCAGATGCTTTTCACTTATGGCTGATTCTAAAGGAAAGGAAAAAAAGACACTAAATATAACTTATAAAATCCAGTATCTAGCTCTGATTCCTGAGCTGTTGATGGTGATTTCCAGCATGGAACTAACTGCCTTCCCCCAGGAGCATATGTGCACCTTAAAATAACTTATAATATGGGGAAGACAAAAAGTAAAACAAGTGTTTACTGAAATATACTGAATATAAACTTACACCCGTCTCTGGACTTCTCTATTTGTTCTCGGAGAAATCTGTCCTTGTGGAGATTTACATCCCCAAACCAGAAATCCACTTGCTTGGCTATATCTGCCAGCACCTGTTTAACCCTTGACCTCTTCTTCTTCTCCCTCTCCTTTTTCTGTTCAGTTCTTTCCTCTTTCGTGGCTTTGTCTCTTGCTGTTTCAGTCTCCATTCCTGCCATCCTGTCAAATGAAAGGTAAAGTTGATATTAAAAAAACCAAACAAACTGAAAATAGTCTTCTGAAAATAGTCTTATTTCAAGGAGTAAACATTTGGGGTTTATCTTCTGCCCTGTTAGCAGAAAAACAAGAAAACTTGATGAGGAGAACCTACAAAAACTAAATCTAGAAAGGACAGATCGCTGGTATTTAGAGCAGGTAAGGTTTGTTTTAAAAAAACTGGCTTTATTATGTCAAAAATGCAAACCACTCTCTCAGCTGCCAAGGGCAGTAATCCAGTAGTGCCTGATTTTCACCAGACACTCCGAATCAGGCCCCTAGAAATTCAAGACTAACTAGAAGGAAGTGACTTCACGTACAGATTTACTTTTGAAAATATAAGGTCTTTTTAATGCATTCATTACCTTGTTTGTTTACACTTCAATTTCTGCAGGTGAAAACTGCCAGTCACCACTTCAGTACCTCATTTCACAAGGGAAAAAAAAAAATCCAACAAAAAAACCAAACCCAAAAAACCCCGTGCTGCCAGGAGCAGACAGCTTTTGGAAAATTAAATTAGCACAAAAATTCAAGTAATTAATGTCACAATCACCACATGAAAGACTTGTCAGCTCTGTGCCAAGGCAGTCCCGAAGAAAAGGGCGAGCAGAGCCATCAGGGAGGAAAGCCCACCTGGACAACAGGATGGTGAGATGGAAATGGTCTCCGAATTATTGTGCAAATCAGGCTCCCTCAGCCGGAGATCAGTTTCTCTCCCCGCTGTGAGCTCCAGATAGTGAAAGGTCAGCAATTACCTCGCAAAGATAAGTCAGGTAAAACTCCCAGCTAAGCAAGTTCAAGCTCCACTCAAGCCCTTCAGCGAGTTTTTAATATTAATAACCAGCAGACTGCTTAGCTGAGGGCTACAGTGAGGTGCACCATCATTATGGAATATTTGGAGTGGCTGAACAGCGTTTGGTGACCACATCAACACGAGTGTTGGCTCAGGTACAGCACAGATTTGTTTTGAGAAGCGTTTTGAGTCATTCCCTCCCAGGAGAGAGGTTCTCAGTCAAGCTTAGAGAAAAAAAGAGCTGCAGGCCACGTTCTGGGCTTCCCCTTCACCTGGTGCTTTAGAAGTGAAGTTTGGAGAAAACTACTTTGGGACTGAAAGTATTAAATCACGCTCAAAGCACAGAGTCAAGAGTAAATGTCAGCTCTGATTACGTACATCAACCCAAGTAATTAATGTAGCAATCACCACATGCCAAGGTACAGGGTAGTTTGGATTTTCACTTGGCAACTCTCAACACTGCCAGCACTACTTTGGTAAATAATTAAAATCAGAAGACAGCAAAGGCAGGATCAAAACTTCATTTTGATAAAGCAAAGCACCTCCTCAAAGGAAATAAATCCTTGGTGCCTCTATATCCTAGAGTGAAATAAGGGGGGGCAAATAAGCAGGGGGAAGGAACTTCAGGAAAGCAAAGATAACATAAATCAAAATAATTCAACTTCACACATATTTACAGAAATTTACCTATGTTCTTTAAAAAGCAATCATTAAACATGTCAGTGCTAAGGTGTATTCAAACCCAACTTCTATCATAGCAACATCTAGAAAACATAGTAAGCTTCAACCGTGCTCCAAAGTCTGTAAGAAGCAGGGTACAGATATAAAACATACTTTATTCTTTTAAGCAGTGATGCAAATGCCTGTTTCTTTGAGCATTTCAAGTAGCAAAATGGGGCAAAACAGCTTGGGAGGGGAAAACAGAGTAAGTCAAAATATTTACTTAATATATTTATTTTAACTATGAAAATGTTTTTACATAGCCACCGCCAACACTTGCCCTTCTGGGCATTTACGGCAGAATAAATGCACGTATTTAGCAAACCTGAAACTACTTTAAAAAAAAAAAAAAACAAAACAAAACAAAAACAAACATCCTGTGATAATTCACAACAAGGTAGACAGAGGCAGAACTGCAGCAGTGAAGTTTTTGCCCTGCCTTTTAACTTCTGTTTATGTAAATTAAGCTAAGAAAGGACAGGAGATAAATACATGGGGACCAGCACGAATTTATTGACCTTAAAAACAGAGGAGCTCCTGCTTTTCTCCACTTTAAGCAACAAATCCAATACATCATTTTAAAACCACATATCAGGTGTTTAACAGATTTAATGAAACGTGTGTGCTCACTAACAGAAAAGGTTTTGCTTCCACCTCACAGGGATGCGTGTTAGGGCTGTTTCCAAACATCAAGGAGCTGCACAAGCAGCAGAGCTGGAGAGAGGAAGCTGCAGGAATAAGCAGTTGGAAGCAGGATGGAGGTGGGTACCAAAGCCTGGCATTCTGCTGCCGTGTTTGCAGCTGCATTCTAATAAAAACAATAGGTATCTATAGGAGAACCTCATCTTCTTTACCCCTCAAAGGGGAAACACACAGCACGAAATAGAATTTTCTAGCCCTGACTTATATCGACCAGCACAGCAACAGGCTAAATCCTGCTTGTCCTCAAGTCCGACCAACACACCCTTAGCACTGCAGTGAGTGACAGTTCCGGTCAGGGATAATTCCAATGTATTGTGTAGCCTGTTGCGTTTCAAGAGCACCAAGTAAAGGGCTCAGCAGATGCTACTCGTGTAATTAGTCACAGACCTCGAGTCGATAAAGTACTAAAAAAAAAAGCAAGCACAGACTAGCCCAAAGTGTTATTGCTCATGTGCCCCCACCCCTCAACACTAGACCCTCTCCTCCAACGTGAGGCTTGGCTCCCAGAGCCACCGAGGGCGACGCCGAGGGACACGGGCAGCGAGGAGCCCTCTGGAAAAGGCTCCACCGGCACCGGGAGAAGCGGGACAGCAGGAGAACAGGATGCCCCGGGGCGGCAGGTCGGGGTTGGATAAGCGGGCGGCGCCGCGCTGAGGGGAAGGGCGCCCGCCATCCCCCCTGAGGGGACCAACCGCCCCCCCGCGAGGGCACCGCGAGGGAAGCGGGCAGCGCGCGGGCGGCGGGAAACACGCGAGGGGGGCGACAGCGCCCCCTACCGACGCCGCCACCGCCGGCACATCCGCAATCTCCCTCCGCGGTCACTGACCTGCCGCCGCCGCGGAGACACCGGGTCGGCCCGCCCCGTGCGCGGTTCCTCCGCCGCCGTTCTCCCCGTCAGTCCGGGCACGACGCGCTGCCAACCTCCACCTTGCCCCCCCCTGCCCCTTTTAAGGGATGAAAAGCCCCGCGGCGGCGCCCGCGCGTGCGCGGCGGCGGGAGGGGCGGGGGGGGGGCGCGCCCGGCCCCGCGCACACGTGACTTCCTCCCCCGCCGGGCGGCGCGGCGCGGTGTGGTGACGTCACGGGGCGCGGCGCGGCGGGAAGTTCGAGAGGGCGGCGGCTGCCACCGGGATCCCCCTCCAGCTCCTAATCCCGGTCCTGATCCTGATCTCATCCCGATCGTGATTCCGGTCCTGGTCGCTAGGTAGGATCGCGGGGTCACCGGCGGGGACGCGGTGGTGGCACATCCGTGCGCCCGCGGCATTCCGCCCGCAGTCACTGTAAGGGTTCGCATCCATCCATCCAGCTACTCGGGAGGGGTAACTCCGTGTCCCCCGAGGGTGTCCGTTTCCATGGATTTTCACCCCGTTAAGCGCCCAAGGAGATGGCAGCCACGAGAAACAGCGCGGAACTTTCCCCCTTTCTTTGTAAAAACCTTTTCTCACTCATCCAGAGGCTGTTTTAAGATTCATTTTGAGTGTCACTGTGGTCCAACGGTAAATACCCGAAGGGGTTTGGCTTCACGGGTGGCTGGTCTGCAGAATCAGTTGTGTTTTAAATATAATTCACGTTTACATATAATTCCTGTTTTGCATGAATTGAACGTGCATGGCCAGCTCCACACCTGGCACAAAATCATTCTGCTAACAGCTTCTGTGGTATTTTGGGGTTTGGTTTTTGGTTTTGTTTTGTTTTGTTTTTTTTTACTGCAAGAAAAGTTCTTTTGAGGGGAAGACAGAAGTGAACTGGCATATAATTTTTTTGTCCATACGTTTCATCGACAGCTCTGGTGAATTCTGACCATTTCCCCACCTCTCAGGCTGGGTGAAGATGTGGATATTTGCGAAATAAACGACTGTTTTGACAAAGCAATGGCCTCTCAAGAATTCACTGTAAGTGATTTTTGACATTGTGTGCTGTTATTATTAGGAATACATTAAAAGACTGCAGCTGCTGGATTATTCAAACATCCTCTTATTTTCCCAACATTTTGCACATTTAAAACAGGTATTATACACTCACCAAAAGACAAAAAAAGCAAAAACGTGGCAAGATGGAGTTCTGAGGATTAGAGCTGGCAGAAATCAGGTGAAAACTTAGGTTTAATACTCTTGGATTTAATCCCATCTGCTACTGCTGGCCTGCCAGTGCCAGTCTAGTGGCTCTGTGAAATAACTGGTTATTTAAAATCCCATTTTTTCATTGCAGGCCACCTTGTTTGATGACAAAGGACAATGCCTGGAGAGCATTTTTCTAAAATCTCAGGTATAGTTTGTTTGGAGCTGTTATTTTAATGCCTGATTGTGCTTTGTGTTTCAGGCAGCGCTTCAAACACTTGGTTGGTAACTAAAATAGCCATTTTTTTTTTGTGGTGGTTATAAAGCTCTGCCACAGTGCAAATAATGGAAAGTAAAACAGCTTCTACTTATTGATAAGTCTTACTGTTTGTCCAGAAGGTTTTATGGGGTTTTACTCCTTTGGGGTAAAAGCAGTGTTATTACGGGGATATATTAAATAAGCATAACTTGAAGATAAGTGCTAATGCTTTCTAGTCTATATACATGTATATTTCTTTATATGGCATCTGTGATAGAGTGGGCCTAAATATCTGAATTTTTTACATATAAGCACATAAATCTCTACATTATTGTCTCTTATGTGCACCCTCCCGCTTCCTCCTTTCTAGGTGGCTGCTGGAGATAATTTAGAAAGTGAACGATATTTGATCACAGTCGAAGAAGCAAAAGCGAGCAAAAAACCTTTGGAAGATCAGCCAAGGAAAGCAGAAATTCCAGCAGTGGATAGAAATGGGGTCTTACCTGGTCTGCTGCCTCCAAGACACCTCCCTGTTGGCCTGAAAAGGAAGTTCACGGTGTGGTGGTGTTTCAGGTTTTTATGTCTGTTGTTCAGCATCTGATGGCAAATTGTGGATTGATGTCCAATTTCTCTCCCAGGGGTTCCAAGGGCCACGCCAGGTTGAGAAGAAAATACCAGCTGTGGAAGAGGAAGAAAAACCAACGCTGTTGCCTCTCTCTAAGCAGTGCCAGGGGACTTTTCCATCCCAGTTTTACGTCACCTCTCCGTTATTTTCCACAGTTCACAAGAAGGATGCAGACACAAATCTCTCTGCAGGCTTCCAGGAAGATGGGTGGAGGGATAATGCCAGAGAACACTTGTCTGTCTCCTCGCTGCTTTCAGCTCCATTTCCTGACAGATGTGAGGGGACAGAGAAGCAAAGCCCTGCTCAGCTCCTTGAGAAGCCAGAACCTCCTCTCCTTACTGGGCAAACTGGTCCCAGGGCAGTGTCCCACAACATCAGGAGCACGGCACAGATCATTGCTCTTCTGAAGTCCAAACCAGCACAAGGACACGGAGAACAAACACCTGCACTTACACAAAGTCTCTCCAGGTTTCAGGCAGCAAGAAATGCGGATTTATGCGACCAAAAGAGCACGGCCCTACCTGCTTTTCCAGCTGATGCTGCCAAAGGAATCGTTCCGAACACTCAG